TTTTTCTTTCTTCTACTTTTCCTCCTATCCTGTTTGGAACATTCAGGTTTTAATCATTACCCTGACTATTTAATTGTCATAGTAAGAGTACGAAATGGTGCGGCGTTGGGGTGAACATTGGGCATCGTTCTTTTTTTACCCTTTTTTACCGACTTTTTTGATATTGCCGAGTATTAGAGGTTACTAGAAACCTAACCTATAGAATTTACCCTCAATGAATTATCTTTATGGCCAAACAATCCTTCCCCCAACAATGACATGGTCCTTCTTTAGGTAGTATACTTCCATCCTTCCCGTCGGTTAGTTAGTGTACACCATAAAATCGTGGACCAAGCTGATTCGGTCCACAAAGCTTGACGAATCACTCCCTAACAACTAACTAACTTATTGAACTAGGTAGGGGCAAGTATTGTAGGTGATAATAATGGATCCATAAGGCAACCGAGACGCACAAACAAGGCGCCTGTCTGTCTGTCTTCTTTGCCTGTGTCCACGTCTTTGGTTTTGCATGTTGGTTTTTATTCGGCCAATTACGGGCTGTCGCTTTGTTCGGGGCCGATGGTTAGGTCTCGTGGGTTTGTGATGCTTCTACCTGTCTACCTTGCTGTATGATTCAACGTCTTGTCTTACTGGGTACTGGGTAGTTGTCTAGTTCAATGATTGCTTCATGCAGGCAATGGGAGGAGGGGAGGTATCAACCGACTCAGTTGGTCACGGGGTCTGTGCCATCTGTTTCATCTCTGAGATCTTCTACCGATCTACCTGTCTATGTGTGGAAGGCGGTTCGCATGGATCTTGATTTCTATTTCTATTTCAGTTACGTCATGTTTATATTAATACCTGTGCTTTTCTGATATTATATCTAACAATTCTTGCATGTATTTGTTTCATTTCCCGTGATTTTATACCTACTATGACCTATCTATAATCCCCATGATATTAACACCCTAATGCGCAAGGCAAGCACAACACAAGCCTCACGGGGAGAAGGATAAACCCATGCTGTCAGACTCACCAACCTATATGGTTAAAAAAAAAAAAAAAGAAATGAAAATGAGAAAAAAAAATCTGAAAATAGGAAAGCAGATCAAGTGGTCACGCCATTCATCTATCTATCTATCTATCTGCCGGGGATCAGGGTTGATCGACGTGATTTCCTGTCATTCGCCCTGGAGCCTGAGACTTTTCATTCGGCGAGAAAACTAGCCGGCCTTAGTTCTCGTGTAAAACTCTACTTGTTCCCTGTCGGTGGGGCACATCTGAGGCTTTTACCTGCTATCTGCTATCCTGATCTCATCGAAGGTAGGACGGCCTACTGGAGGGAGAGGTGGCGGTTGAAGATTCTCACCCCATCGTCATACCGTCTGTCATTCATCGAAGATCCTCAACAGAAAAGAAAAAGAATGAACAAAAATAAAGAAACGACGTTCCCTTGAAGATTCACAGATATATTTAAAAAAAAAAGTAAAATAAAATAAAATAATCAAGAATCCTCTGGTTTGCTATCCGTCTGGTCTTGTCGGCCATTGTCTCCCAATCTCCTCCACCAACCAAGATCCGACGATCCTCCCCCCTCCCCAACTTATCGCACCCCACCTCTTCTCTATCCATTCTCTTTCGTTCACCAATATCTAGTCTCTGATCTCTAGTCACTTTTTTCTTTTCTTTTAATCATCTCAAACTAAGAGATCATACACCAATTGACGGCGGCAGGTGACTTGAAAAAAAGAATAGAAAAAAGTGGGCTCCAGCAATGAAATCTTGACACCCCATGCAGCCAAGCCTGTCGCTGTCGCAATGACGGGATACACCTTCTCTCTCTAGGGATATCGACCGGCTGAGTCCGCGACTCATCGTCGTTGCTCAACTCCATTACCTGTAGTCAGCGGGTTAACGTGCTGCAGGAATACGACATTACACTAGGACGGTTCAGTGGGTTAAAGGGGGGGAAGGCCAAAACAGAAAGAGCAGCGCGAGTTGGTCTCCATGTCCGACCTGGACCGGACCTGACACGGCCTATCCCGACGCGCCCTCTCTCCGAATGGACGCATGCCGTGTGTCCGTCAAAAGTGACTAAAGAAAAAAAAAGAAAAATAGGGCATAAGAGGAGGGGGGAGAAGAGGAAAGATGAGAGAAAAAAAAAGCAAAGAATGAATGGGCCCGAGAAGTAACGAGGTCAGTCCTAAAGTACTATATTTATTCTCGGTGTACGCAAGGTACTGGAAGGCTCGTTCTCCAGTCCCTCGTGCGATCTCAAGCATGCCCATCGGGTCGCATTGGGTTTTCCCGGTCTCATTTATATCACGTATGTACGACGTCCGTCGTTCTTATTGACTGACCGGTGAGAGAGGACGTCAGACCTGGGCAAAGATAACGCGGTGTAAATTATAAGGGAGTCATCCAGCACTAGTTGGGATTGATATCTTGCCAACCCAGTCTTCGCTTCTCCTCATTCTAAAACCTACCCAAACCCCGGACTTCCGACTTTGATGATCGACGTCGTCTCCAGACTCCAGATACTCTTCCTCCCTTTGTTGGGTATCATCGAGCTTAAGGCAAATAGACTCTGCTGCCTCTCCATCAGCCGAGTGCGACGCCCAAAAGTCAAAAGTACGACTTTCGTATTTGAGTTCGAGGCTATTAATTTATTTTTGCAACCACCAAACGGGCCGTGCCGAATGTCTCAAAATCCTTCTGCATCGAGTCGCTAAACTCTTGCATCTGAGACAACGCTGCTGATGCACGTCGCTGCTAGCTCGGGCTGTCGTGAGCACTGCAGGAGGATCACGATATCAAATGCTGGGTTTCTGACCACCGGTTGAGGATGACATTAGGCGCATGAAGCGAAGGTCGCGGCTCCAGTTTCTAGACCTTCTCTCTCGTTTGAGACATCGCGCACAAGTTAAGGGGTCTGTGGGGTGAGTTTGGGAACAAGTTCAAGGGCGGGGTCGTCATGATCGAATTAGTGACCCAGGCAAAAGAAGTCAAACAATAGCCATTGGGGAGGTGACGGGAAAAAAGAAAGAGGAGAAAGAAAAACATCAATGGCAATGACCAGGATGAACAAAGCTGCTAAGTTTGGGACTATCGCATCTTTGCAGCCACGAGCGTCTCGAGCTTTCTTTTTACGACCAGTCAATTTTTTTTCGCTTGTTCACTCGTTTTCTCATATACTGATTGGCCTACTCGGCCCGTCCCTGGATCCCATGACAGCTGCACATCTTATCCATCGGCATTTTCTTCTGGGCTAGAGCAGCGTCAGTCTAGCGAGCTGCCTTCCATCGCATGGGTTGCCTTCTTTTTGATGGCTCGTCGTGAACTGCCCCCCCTCAAGGACTGACCTACTTACTCGGGCACCATGCTTCGGATAGTATCCGTCAGTCCCTTCTCTCAGACCGACATGATTCAGACCAGGGACGCGCCTACCCCGTGCAGCCCAAAGTCCCTAACCTTCCTTCGGCCGGCCTCTCCTCAGACGTTTCTGTACTTTTTTCTTGGGTTTCATGGGTATTCCCAGGCGCGTCCGTATGTCAGATGCCAAATGGCTCGCTGAATATTGTCACAGCAGCGGCTGAGGCTGACCCTGGTATCACGTTGGCTTTTCCTTCCCGGGGGTTCGGTCACCATTGAGGGGTTCTCCACCGCGCTTTGACCGGAAGCAAAGAGAAGATCAATAGCCGGCAAGTTGAAAAAATGAGCTCATCATAAGAACCACTGTCATTAGTCAAGGCGCGTAATAGCACCGGAGAAACCTCAGGTTACATGGATCGGGACGGCCGAAGATAAGAGTATCCGGACGCCTGGTAAACGCCTTGTTTCATGCTTTTTGGCCAAAACCAATGCTATAGCTTTATAGGTATCGAGTATCAACCAATTATACGGTGGTCAATTGTCCGTGGCAAGGAAACCAGATGGGAAAGAAGGCTGACTTCAATCCTGACCGAACCAACCCAACCCAATCGCCAACCACGGCAACCAGCTCCCCCTTTTGATTCAGCCCTTGGTATCCACTATTCACTATCCACTACCCACCGACTTGTCTATAAGCCAGCGCCGACGATCCCATCTGTCAGACTCTCCGCTTCACGCCATGCACCTGCACAGAGCACACACGTCGGAACATGGATCAGCCTGGATCGCCGCTGTGTCAACCTGCTGACAGCTGGTAACTGACTGACCACTTGGCCTTTCCCCTTCCCCTCACCCACAGAACAGAGCAGTGGTACCTGTCGAGTTCAACAGATGTATGTACCCTGCCCCACGGTCTTTCCTATCTGATCACCCAGGCTCGGGCACCAGCCGGAAAGACATGTACGTACCATCCATGTAGGTACGCAAAAATAACAACATAATTTCAATTAAGATTGATACTTATCATTATAATGATAATATTTCACCCTTCGGCTGCGAGGATTAGCCGGCCGGCCGAAAGGCTAGCTGTACCTCGAACACGACACGATACCTACATATGCAGAGCACAGACAGCGCCTCTTTCCTCCCTTCCTATCTCCCTCCCTCACCAATCCTCCCCCCTGTACATCCTCCCTCCCAGTCAACGGCGCCCACCTGCTGTCCCACCCTCCCAATGCCGAATAAGTCTCCTCACATCGCGGGTAAGAACGATTCCCTCCCCATTGTCGGCCCAGGTATGACAAGCGGTCTAGTTCTAGTCGGGGATGGGAGGGCAAAAAAAAAAAAAAAAACAACCTTCCCCTCCAGTGGCGAGTAACGCCTACCCCATCTACGTACATATGTAGCTGTACACCATGTAGGCGTTCGCTAAAGGCAAGATGCAGGTCGCACACGCTGCTGCATTGCTTTCCAGGTCATGTCGGGCCTACGTATGTTTCGCCTAGATGCTTGGCGGATGGATAGATGGATGGATGGATGGGACCGGTGGGCGGTGGGTTTTGGGTATGTATGTATGTCATCCCCGTGTTTGGTGCTGTGGTGGGTTCTTGCGTATGTTGTGATGTGTTCGTGGGTTTTTGGGGGGGGAGTGCGTTTTTCATGTGTGTATGTATGCATGGTGAGGTGAGGCTATATGTTTATCTTCCTGACGACTTAACTGTGACTTTCTGGTCTAGGTAGAGGTACGTGTTTCTATGAGATATTTAGGGTAAATTTTTAGTCATAGAGTCATTAGAACTATATGGAAAGAGCGTCTCATGTGTAGAGCGCAAATTTCCCACAAATAAACCAAGGTTATGTGAAAAAAAATATAAAAAATAAAAGTAAATGAATAACAGATACAACCAGGCCGCATCTGACTCCTACCTACTAAGTATTGGCATTAGTACCTACATCAACCAGTCTACGTGATCTAGTACTAGCCCTTGCTCTATGAGTCCATCCTCCTCTCCCCACCCCAGTTCCAACCCGATCGACCCTCGCATTCCCCCCACCTCCCCCACCAGTACTTATATGCGTGGTTCGGGATAATGCTGTGTAGACAGCTCTAGTAGAAAGATATATGAGTAAATGGTTATCACTACCTCAAAGGATGAACGTACAGCTGTTCTCACTAGGTAATAATAAGGTATCTAGGTGGGTGGGTAACTAACTTAGGTGGTTAACTTCTTGATTTTATATATATATCTTGAGTACGGAGTGCATCAACTAATTACCAGGAGTAATAGGGGGCTCTGTGCGTTACTTCTTTCCGCCTTGGCTTGTTGAGTTTGTTTCATCTTGTTTTGTTTTTATCATTATTATACTTATTTTTTTTTCTTTCTTGATTTTCATTCCCTTGGTGAGTTGAGTTGACTCAATCAACCGGCCGACTCTACCCACACACCGGAAGGGCCGTAGGATATTCCAAGGATACGACTACAACCCAGCATAGACAGGGAAGAGGGCAGAAGAAAAGAAGCAATTACTCCTACTACTAACTATGTACTCAACCAATAAGCCCAACATACAAAAAGGCAAGCCCTTCGCACAGCAGTTATGTGCAGTGGTTTCACGCCAAGAAATCGAAACGAAGAATAATCTGCGGTGGATTCGTTGCCTTCCCTGGCAGGATGAGGGCTGGGCCGTGCGTTTTGTGCTGGCCTTTCTTTGGGCGGATTGCCAACCTTGGTGACATTCAAGTACTTAAGTCTCTACTTGCATATCTAGCTATATACTTGAGGTATGTGTCTGAGGATGGTTTGAGTTTGTGTGGCTTTTATGAAACGTGCGTGGGGGTTGGTGGATGTATATATATCTGGAGGGGTTTTTGGGTTCAAGTTGTCGGTGGTTTTTATAGAGCTTTGCCTACTGGGCTGGAGATAGCAGTTGAGATAGGTATTGGTTGTCTCATTCTTTCCTCCATCTGTACATACTTTGGTAGGTTGGAAAGCAGACGTTGGTCCAACTCAACCAGCCCGATCTTCAATCACCCTGTTACGTCCGAATTGCCTGTACGGGAAGGATTCACTACATAACGGCAGAGCGGCAGTACAGAAAAAACTCATAATCGAATTTCTTTTCGATCTGAAACGCCAGAATTCATGAATGGATAATTCATTTCGAGCCACGACTGGGTCGTGCGGCCGTGGTTCACTGGTCTAAGAGGAACCGTACCCTGCCGATTTTTTTCGTATTTCCATATCATTCGCTCCCACTAACCACGAACACCGAACATGAACGAGTCCATTTAGCGCTTGGAGGACTTCTCCTGAGACTCCTTGAGGACCTTCTTGACGATCTTCTGCTCCTCGATCAGGAAGGCGCGGACGATGCGGTCCTTGACGCAACCGGCGCAGCGAGAACCACCGTAGGCACGGCTGACGTTCTTCTTGGGCCGGGAGATCTGGGAGTACTCGCGGGGGCGGAGCGCGGGGATCTAGTGTAGGGGAGAAAAGGATCCCGTCAGCCTTCCTGTACCATCGCCTTGTCCCTCCAGAGTTGGTCCAGCACTGGGGTGGCCTGAAATTCGTTGAATCCCTTCCACCCCCGCCTCCCCCGCCACCTGCTGGCCAATCCACACAACCACGGGGAAAAAAACCGAAATTTCACTCGGGAGTACTCACACCGGGGAGCTTGATGCCGCAGTCACCGCACTTGGGGGCGGTGCCTTGCTTCTTGATGTGAAGGTACCGGAGCTCGCCGCCGGGGGTCTTAACGACACGGACCTTGTTGGACCGCGTGTTGTACCTGTAGTCGAAAAATCAATATCCTGTTCATGTACAAGTCCGTTCGAAACCAAAAATTCCTTTCCTGTCGCAATTCGGAAGAGGCTTTCGACAGTCGAAGTGACAGGGGACTTTCGCATTTCATGCCAGGGAAGGTTGTGTGGGAAAAGTCACGTACGGGTTCCGTCTGCGCTGTAACGTGCGAAAAAAAGATCCCGTCAGTATTTCTGTTTCGAAGATAAAGTCGCCGGTCCTGAATTAACTCACGTATTGGACTCTGTTGTTCGGCATTTTGACGGTCTTGAACCTCTGCGTCGGTGGTCAAGAAATGGGCGGCGGGCGTCGTCGGTTGTCGTCAAAAAGCTCGTAGGGGAGAATTCTGGCAGAGTCTCTGGGATTTGTGTGGGTTTCGCTCCGTGTGCCGCTAGTGCCGATTTGGTAATTTGGCGAGTCCGCGCTATCCCCAATCGGGACAGGTCCGGTCCGGGACAGAGCCGCCACCTCTTTTCCTTTTGCAAAGACATCAATCCTAGGGAGAGAGAGAGCGTGCCAGAAGTATCGTATCGTCCATCATTCTTGTCGTGAGAAGGGGATCGGCCAGAAGTGGATCCTTTACGTTCGACTTCTTGGGTGATACTATCTTGAACCTCCCACCCATCAACTCTTTTGTTTCTTTTCCTTGTTTTACCCTGTCGTTTTGATGACCTAACCGCGCTTGATGAGCTTTTTCGTGACGTGAATCTCGAACGCGACTTGGTAGATTGAGCCGTCGACCCACCCCCCCCCCCCGTGTGATCGAGAGAGGCATCTCCAATCCTCTCAGAATAACCATGGCGTCGTTGCCTCCTCCTCCGCCTCCGGGCTGGGGTGCAGCGGCACCTCCCTCGATGCCCATGGCGCCGCCGCCGCCAGGGTATCAACCTCCCGCGGACCCAACCGTCGCAAAGTTCGCTCAGAAGAAGACCGAATGGCTTCGATCGCAACGAAACCGATTTGGTGAGAAGAGAAAGGGTGGCTATGTGGAAACTCAGAAGGCGGATATGCCGCCGGAGCATCTGCGCAAGATCGTCCGCGACATCGGCGACGTGTCGCAGAAGAAATTCAGCAACGAGAAGCGCAGCTATCTGGGCGCGCTGAAGTTCATGCCTCATGCCGTCCTGAAGCTGTTGGAGAACATGCCCATGCCCTGGGAATCGGCCCGGGATGTGAAGGTATTGTACCACGTGAACGGCTGCTTGACCCTGGTCAATGAGACTCCCCGGGTTATCGAGCCCGTCTTCCATGCCCAGTGGGCCACCATGTGGGTGTGCATGCGAAGAGAGAAGAGCGATCGACGACATTTCAAGCGGATGCGGTTCCCCCCTTTCGATGACGAGGAGCCTCCGCTCTCGTGGTCCGAGAACATCGAAGACGTCGAGCCGCTGGAGCCGATTCAGATGGAGTTGGACGAGTCGGAGGACGGCCCCGTCTATGAATGGCTCTACGACCACCGACCCCTCTTGGATACCCCCCATGTCAACGGGCCCAGCTACAAGAGTTGGAACTTATCTCTTCCGCAGATGGCGACTTTGCACCGGTTAAGTCACCAGCTACTCAGTGATGTGGTCGACCAGAACTATTTCCACATGTTCGATCTGAGCAGTTTCTTCACCGCCAAGGCCCTCAATGTCGCCATCCCCGGAGGCCCGCGTTTCGAGCCCTTGTATAAGGACATTGACCCGAACGATGAGGACTTTAGCGAGTTCAACGCGATCGATCGCATCATTTTCCGAGCCCCTATCCGAACCGAGTACCGTGTCGCATACCCCTTCCTGTATAATACCCTCCCCCGAAGTGTTAAGATTCCCTGGTACTCGCACCCTCAAGTGGTTTACGCTCGGACCGACGACCCCAACCTTCCTGCCTTCTACTTCGACCCTGTCATCAACCCCATTTCCTCCCGTTCCGTCGCTCCGAAGAACATCACAGTCAGCCATGAGGATGAGATTTTCGGACCCGGAAATAACGAGGACGATGAGTTCGAGCTTCCGGCGGACGTAGAACCGTTCATGTCGGACGAGGAGCTTTACACCCCCGAGACCGCTTCGGCTATCGCGCTTTGGTGGGCTCCTCACCCTTTCAACAAGAGATCGGGCAAGATGGTGCGCGCACAGGATGTGCCGCTGGTCAAGCAGTGGTACCTGGAGCACTGTCCACAGGGACAACCCGTGAAAGTTCGCGTGTCG